ACACTTCATTGACAGGTAAGAATTCCATACCTTGGGTCAGTTCTATATTCGTTACACTCGTGCTCGTCAATATGAGCATATGGTTGAAGTATGCAAAGCTAAAGTTAGTATGAAACTGATCAAAAATAATTGTGACCGTCTTCCGATCATCATTGTGGCAAACAGTGAAATCATTACATACTTTTTGTGTATGTGATGTATGTTTGCGATGTGATCTAAAACGCTCCTAATTGTTATAGTAAAGTATAGTATTTTTTAAAAACAGTATTCATAAGAAATATGATGAAAAATCAATTGAATACAAGAATAAACTAACCGCCATATTTTAGTATTATATATATTCTCATTGACTCTTTCAGTTCGCTCAACGCTACTACTGTGGTTTTGCTGGTAGAAATATTCAAACTTATGTTTGCAGTTCTGTTCATGATGCTCGAAGGTGACATCCCCCAGAATTTTTCCCTCTCCCTAATTCCCATTTATTTCAGGATCGATCATTGAGTGTATCAAGAGCTGGCGGCCACTCTCGAGCTTAGCTGTTGCGGCCCTGCCTGCGGCTACATATGCTGCACAGAATGTATGCATACAAACGGCCTATCGTAATCTCGACCCACTAGTGTTCAACTTGGTTAACCAAACTAAGTTGTTATGGACTGCGGTAATACTTGGGAAGATTATTGACTTGGTGTTTTCAGTGATAGTATGTTATGGTAGAACACGCTGAACCTAGGAATAGAGAATATAAAATCATATAGAATACACATATAGGAAAGTCGTACTTGAAAGGAAACCCTAGATGTGAGGGGACAACAGCATGAATCTCAGTCGGGTTTTGGACGTTGGGCGGAGCGACTCACATTGCGATTTGAAAGAATAAGTAAGACCCTCACGGCCGTCAGATGGTTGTAAATTGCGCCTAGAATACATGAATAATGCATCATGCATTATGCATGTGTGAATAATGTATTAATACTGACGACTTATTCGCTTCCTAATCATCTAAATTGGGATATCTGAGGATTGATCCGCAGACCTTTGAATTCCTAATCATATGATTAAACCACCCGGCCAAATGAATCATACAAATTCCTAAAAGTTTTGTTTATCTTTTAGTAGGGGTTTAATCGTCCGAGACCTAGAC